TTCGATCCCTCAAGTTCTCTATTGAGAGCATCGAAGTCCGGACATATCAAGGTTGTACATGCAGGAGACATAGACAAGGAAGAATGAGAAGCAGGAGAAGAAGGAGGAGTAGGGTTAGAAGGTGGGGGATTTTTAAGGTCGTTCCCCTCATCAGACCAATCTGGGCTACTTTTTATGTCATTGCCAGAGTTGGATAGGTGCAGGGGATCTTTTAGGTCTTTCCCTTTTTTAGACCACTGGGGAGTACTTTTGACGTCGTCACCCTCATTGGATGTGTGCGGAGTGGGAGATGAGATGGAGCATCTTCTTAATAGGAAGAAGAAGGAAAAAGGATTGTGTCAGGGATGAAGTTCAGCAAGGTTGGCAACGGAGGAAGGGGCCTGAGAAATTCCTGCTCGACTATGGGTTGAGCAGTCTTGTTTCTTCGACGAGCAGCCCTTGGTGCCCGTCTCTTTCTGGTTTTCTGACGTGATGTCAGATTCGTCTCGCTAGGGTGGCAAACCGCTCTAAGTTGGAGAACTGCTTCTCATCTTAAGGACTTGAGTCTTCTTTGGCCATGGTAGGTTATCCATGGCTGGGAATCAGGGGTTCCGCATAGTCTGAGTCATTGATAGGAAGGTCTTGGTTTGTGAGATTTGTTGCCTCAATGGAGAAGTGATTTGGGGATCTGTTACAGGGAGATTGTAAAATTCTTGACACTCCCGCATCTTCTCTGCGAATATATCAAGGAAAGTTGTGCATTCTGACAGATAATGACTTCTTATTTGATGAAATGGCACCAACGATCTTCAGTCCCCTTAGTAAGGCGGTGGGGTTGCCTTGCCGGTTTCGGTGTGATTATGCCTTCCTGAAGCATTATAATGAAAAAAGCATGGAGGATATCAGGCATTTCGTCTTCCTCTTGAATGGTTACGGCATGGGAGGTCTCAGCTGCCCTGAAGGCCTTCTTCAAATCTTCAAGCTTTATTTGACCTTTCAGAATGAGAGCGTCAATGATATCCTTCAACGTGTAGCAGTCATTTGTGGGATGATTGATCCTCGGATGGTAGGCACAATAATTCGCCTGAGTGTCAAGGCCAGACTACTCAGGGAACTTGGTTTCTGGAAGCTGGATCATATTATGCTCCAATAGTAACTGGAACAGAGCAAAGACCCATTCCTTCTTAAAGGGATAGACCTTGTTCCTATGTCTGGCGAATAATCACCCCAATCAAGGTTGGCTAGTGGAGGTATCCGATTGTACGACAGTTGTTGCTTGCCAGTCTGGGGTGTTACTGTTGTCACGGTTACCCCTTTAGAGAGGTCCAAAGTTTGGGAGGGAGCCTTCTTTGAATCAGTGACCATGACGGCTGCACTGATTACCCCCTTTTGTTGGCTGCCTCGTGTGTTATTCCGAGAGCTACCATTGCCCCAGTTGTTGGATGAACTTGTAGATGGTTGTCTTGTCCCACCATGATAGCATGACAAACGTTCTATGTGAACTGATTTAGAGATCAACTCTGACATGGAGATCGGATTGGAGGCCTTGACATGTAAAGCGATTTCAGGTCGCATGTTTCACACGCATGTCTGGACTGATTTCTTCTCAAGCATAGGATTAGGATGGCAAGAAGCCAAGTTTCTCCATCTTGACATGAATTGATCCATGGGTTCATCAAGTTCTTGAGTTAGGGTGACCCACGAGCCTTGTAGTGTGTGTGAGGAATGGAGACCGTGGGGTTTCCACCTCGAAGTGTTGAGCCTCTAGGGATAGAGACCAATGGTGTAGGAATGTGGGGGGTAACCTTTTGGCGACCCATAAATGCAATGGCAACTTGCTTGCCTCTTGTAAAAAGGGACTGAGTCGCCTTCTAACGTACCTTCGGAACTCAACCGGCAAGTGACTTGCCGGTGGCTGGGTGTATGCTGTGTGGGGCAACATAAGTGCTGCCCATGCAGGGCACCTTGTTGAGTTTCCATCATAGCGAAGAGATGGGGAGTGAAGGACCTTCAAGTCCCTCCTCACATCGGTCCAGGTTAAGCCCTAGGAGCTAAACAAGGGGTCTTTGCTCAAGAGAATGGTCGGGAACGAAGTTGAAGGACCTTGTTCCCTAGGGACACTCTCAAATAAGGGGATAATAAAATCTCTAATCCGGATACAGGAGTTACAGAACCCAGCAGCCATAAGTGAATATGAAAAGAGAATGAAAGTAGATAATAAAAGAAGAGACTAGCCAAACAAGACCGATTCGACTAAGAGGTAGTAAGTCCCCAATGGAGTTGCCAAGCTGGTTAGGTGCCTCGATCTCGCCCTCCGGATCCTGAAAGATCGAGCGGTGTGCATCTCGGGTTTTGGGGGAGATCCGGGATGTTTATGAGATTGCTCTCTCGGGAACCTCGTTCAAAAACGGAGGTAAGTGTTACCAACCAGTGAAAGAGGAATTTTAAAGGTGGGTTCGGGACTTACTCGGGCTGACTCGCGTGGGTGCTCATGAAGAAAGCCCCCCCAGTAATAAAACTGGTTCAGAATCGCCTCCCTTGGCTTGTATTCTTCTTATTTTCTACTTTTCTACAATCATACACGTATATGGCAAAGGTTATGGGATAGGTGGGTCAGACCTCACCCTTTTTCTCTCTGATGAAAGTACACGAGCATGTGCATCCAAAAAAGAAGAAAGAAAGACAAAGAGAGAGAAGAATTCGACCAAGTGAGAGGATCAGAGCAGTGACTAGGCTGGTGGATAATTGACCTAATGTGGTAGTAAAACGGGCTCGATAACTAAGACCGGTTCACGGGATCACTACTAGACGTTATTACTAATATCGACCAGCTAAGCACGATGGTCGGTCTATTGTGGCAGTAAAGCGGGCCAAGTGATCCTGGCGCAACAACATTATGGCTAGACGATAGGGTTACCATGAGAGGCTAACCTCAATCCCTCTTAGTCGAATGAAGGAGTAACAAAGTAGGGGTTAAAGAGAAGAAGCGAATAGACAGAAGGAGAGAGAAGAAGGAAGAGAGGAGAGAGAATAAACGAGAGGATAAAAGAGAGAGAGGGAAAGAAGGCGCAGTCGGGGCTAAGCATCACTGATTGTGTTAGAAGAAGAGAGAAAAAAAGCAATTGACGCTAAGTTTTGTCGACTGTATTAAAATAGAAGGGATAAAGAGAGAGAAGAAGCAGTCGGTGCTAGATTTTACCAACTGATAGAAGAAGAGAAAGAAAACCAGTCGGCGTTAGATCTTGCCGATTGAGAGAAGAAGAGAGAGAAAACCAATCGGCACTAGGTCTCACCAACTGACAGAAGAAGAGAGAGAAGACCAGTCGGCACTAGGTCTCGTCGATTGACAGAAGAAGAGAGAGGGGACCAGTCGGCGTTAGGTTTCACCGACTGACAGAAAAAGAGAGAGAAGACCAGTAGGTGCTTGGTTTCGTCAACTGACAGAGGAAGAGAGAGAAAACCAGTCAGCGCTAAGTCTCCCCGATTGATAGAAGAAGAGAAAGAAAACTAGTCGGCGTTAGATCTTGTCGACTGAGAGAAGAAGAGAGAGAAAACCAGTCGGTGCTAGGTCTTGCTGATTGACAGAAGAAGAGAGAGAGGACTAGTCGGCGCTAGGTTTCATCGATTGACAGAAGAAGAGAGAGAAGACCAGTCGGCGTTAGGTTTCATAGATTGACAAAGGAAGAGAGAGAAAAACAATCATCGTTAGGTCTCACCGACTGACAGAAGAAGAGAGAGAAGACCAGTCAGTGTTGGGTTTTCCAACTGACAGAGGAAGAGAGAGAAAACCAATCAACGCTAGGTCTCACTGATTGATAGAAGAAGAGAGAGAGGACCAATCGGCGCTAGGCTTCTTTGGTTTCATTAAACAGGGACAAATGAAGATAAAGATGAGAAGAGAGGATGAGAGAGAAAGAGGGAGAAGAAGAGAGAGAAAGAAGAGAGAGAAAGAGAGAGAAAAAGAGAGAAGAGAGAAAAGAGAGAGAAATAGAGAGAAGAAGAGAGAGAGAAAGAGAGAGAAAAGGATAGAGAGAGAGGGAGGACAGAGAGCTTCCTACCCAAAGGGTACCAGCCCTTTTCTTCTCTCTCATCTCTCTCTCTCCAAGACGTACTCACACGCTCAAGTAAGGAATCAAAATTTTTTATTCGATCTTCAAACAATCAATTGAAGGCCGAGAGGTCTCTTTCCAATGAGACAGTGCTTGTTTATATAGAATTGTGCCCAAACATGGGTGGATTGATCAAAATTAGACCTAATTGCTGAAAATTAAGATTTAATTGAATTAAAAGAAATTCTAAAAATGGGTACAAAATGGTAGTTTTGCCCCTGTCTAACAATGTGTGGAATTTCAATGCAGTCCATGCTGCTGCCTGAGAACTTGTGTGATCTTCTGTGGCTGACCCGAGGTTTTTTTGTTACCCGTTTCATCGAAAGATTATTGTTTTCTTGTAGATATCGACATGACGAACATTTGATACCAACTTTGAGTCATGAATCATGTTTTTTAGCCATGATCACGAAACTTAAAATTGGTTTGAATCTTGTAAACTTCAGATTGATAGTGCGCTTGTTCCTTGATGTTTTTTATAATTTTTTCATCGTAACGCACTAAGCATGCCATCACGATCACGTGAGAACAAACGAGACGTGATCTGGAGCCCGAATGAAGACTTCGCAACTTTTGAGTTCCGGTCGAAATCTGGAATCCGACGACCGAAATTTCAGTTACTTCATCGGCTTCATGCATGAAATTTGACCGTCCATCACGTACAGAGTTGGGACCAATGATAGCCATGGACCTTACGCACACATTGGAATTGGTTTCGCGTTGATCCGTTGCGTGAGCGTTGTGATTTGGTCCATCGAGCGAGATGTGTCACTGATGAATTTTAGTAGATTATTTTTTATATTAACACTTTTTTTTTGACTGCACGGACTTGTCTTGCTAGAGGAGTTGAATCCCGGTTAAATCGCTTGGGGGCCAGGCTCAAGTCGGGTTAAACGTTCCGAATCGATTTTGGGAACAGTGCCTGAGAGTGTGCGAGAGAGGGGCTCATCCCACGCCCAAGCTCATGTACCATTTAATGAGAGAAACCCTAGAATTCCCTTTCCCTCTTTTTTATTTTTCAAACACTGTAACTGCAAGAAACACTATGTGTCTCTCTGTCTCTTTCTCATCAACCCCGAGTCTTCTTTTTGTCTTTCCACAAAACACTCTAAATTTCGTATTTTCTCATTAGGTATTTTCCATTTCCCTTCACTAAACTAATTCAGGTGCTCTCTTGTATTTGATGGTTTTTAGTTTTGCTTCCATTTGGATGATTACAACAAGCTCTCATGTGAAATTTTTTCAACCATAATTTGTTATATAGTCATGTTGTTTTACATTTTATTTGAGAACATATACAGAAATCAATGATGGGTTATTTAAAACTTTTAAATGATAATCAGAAGGAGTTCTATCGGCATTTTTCGGAGTTGTTCTCATTTGAACTCTAATCTGAAGTTTATAAGCTGCCCATTGTCTCTTGGGGGTAAAGATTATGAAAGTTCAGTTTTATGTTTCCGTGTAAGGCATAATTTTGGAGTTTTGATCCCTAAATTTCTTCAGTCGTGGACAAATTTGGGCTTTTCTAATGATCCTCGAGGCAATTTTAAGCTTAATTCTGAAACCCTTTGTTCAACTCTATCGAACTGTCCATCTGATATATTGGGTTTAAGCCTTTTCTTGTGGTTTTTTGAGAACCCGTTGTATTCTATTGATGAGAAATCCCTGGAGTTTGCTGTTGGCACGGTTAAAAGGCTTATGAACCAATTTGAGACTGTCAAAGGCCTTATCGAGGGATTACAGGGGATAGGTTCATCCTCAAGGGCTCGGATTTTTATTCTTTTGCTTAGGGTTTTTTGGCATGGCAACATGTATGATTATACATTGGATACTTTCGAAGTGATGCAGAATTTTGGTTACATCCCCAACACCTTTGCTAGGAACATGGTAATTGATGTTTTGTTCAAAATGGGTAGTGTTAAAGTGGCATTATCAGTTCTCAGAGATACCCAATTCCCAAACTTCTTGTCATTTAATATTGCGATTAGTAATCTCTGCAGGTTAAATGATTGTTCTGGGGTACAGCAGCTTCTGAGAGGCATGGTGGCTAGGGGATTTCGCCCAAATTACGGTACTTATGCAATGGCCATAAGTTGTTTTTGCAAGGCTGGGAAGGTCATGCAATCACTACAGGTATTGAGCCTCATGATTGTTTCAGGCGAAGATGTTACTGTACCTATTTGGACTGTTTTAATAGGTGGGTTTCTTAAGGTTGGGAGTGTTGGTATTGCAATTGAATTTTTAAAGAAGATGGATGATGTTGGGTGCTTGCCTAATATTATTACATATACATCTATAATTCATGGTCTTTTTCAAGCAAATATGTTTGATCAGGCACTTGATGTTTGGAACTCTATGGAAGCAAAACGTTTTGTGCCTGATTTAATTTGTTATAACATACTCATTCATTGCTTTTGCAAAGTGGGGAGATATGGAGATGCATTACATTTATTTCATGAGTTGAGGAGGAGAAATCTGCAACCAGATTCATATACTATTTGCTCTTTGGTATCAGGCATTCATTCGGTGATGGAGACATCTTTCTTTTCCAAGTTGGTTTCAGGGATTAGTGTAAATCTTGACCTTATGGCATGCAATGCTATGCTAAATTGTCTTTCCAAAGTGGGTTATTATTCTAAAGTAGGGGATCTTTATAATGAAATTGTAGATGAAGGTTTTGTGCCAGATAATTATAGTTATGCAGCATTATTGGATGGGCTTTGTAAAGCTGGCCAGGTTAGTGATGCCATCGATGTCTATAATGGGATTCTTGCAAACGATTCTGGTATTGATTCTCACGTCCACACTGTTCTCTTTCATGGTCTAATTAGAAAAGGTATGCTTAACAAAGTCTTGCGATTGTTTAAAAAGGCATCCTTGGCAAATCATCAACTTGATGTCACTTCTTATACAGTCCTGATTAGTGGCCTTTCTAAGGCTGGTAGGTTAGAAGAGGCGTGGAGTTTGTTTAACCGAATGAAGGAAATCGGTGTAGTTCCAAATATATGTACATATAATGTCCTATTAGATGGCTATTGTAAGGCCAGAGATATTGGTTCTGTTAAGAAGTTACTTGAAGCTATGGAATCTGAAGGGATTGAAATGGATTGTTTGTCATTTAATACAATTATTGGGTTCTTGTGCAAATCACATCGGATTCGGTCTGCCATTAATCTTTTCCTTAGAATGTATGAATTTGGACCAACACCCAGCGAAGTCACCTACGCCGTACTTGTTGACGGTCTTTGTCGAGCTGGAAAAGTAGATGATGCATATCTATTGCTGGAGAACTATTTTGAACTTCAAGAGGTTGTGTCACCATATTCTGATAATTTCCTCTAAGTATGTGCACTATTTAGAGGTCTTAAAGCTTGGGTGGGGATCTGGTAGATGCACCTATGCAAATTTCAAAATTGAAGGAGGCGCATTTATTTTCCAATACTGTATTGTCATGCACTTGTGGAGTTCCCATTATTATGAAGTACAGAACAAGAGTTTGTAGTAGATTGCAAGTTCCAAGCATTGGCTGGCCACCATTTTTTAGAGACTTGAATATTGAATCTTTGAATATGTTAAGATTAAGCATTGGGCAAGTGGATTGATGATTAGAGTGTTTACAATCGCAGCACCATCTCCCAGGTTCAAATTTTACAGCTGATCCTTCCAATTAAAAATGTATATTTTTGGAATCTCGATGAAACATGCTTAAGATCATTGTTGATTCTTTGGGTCTTTTTGGGGGTTTGGAAAGTTTATATTAGATGTCAAGATCATGTCACCTAACCACAAAAACCTGAAAGACATATTTTGGAGTGGATGGTAACTATTTAGCTATTTAGTGATGTAGATCTCTGGTCAGCAATCGTGTGGTCTCATCTCCACATTGTTTTCTTGCATGTATCCTCAGTAATGCGATATTGAGCATTGTCTTCATTTTATGTGCTACTGCATTCACAACTGAATGTTTGGTTTTCTTGGATGTACACTGCTTGTTAGGGGATCTTACTGTTCACTGTTTCTTTTTGCTGACCTAATTTGAAATGTTTTGGAATTTGGTATCATATTTTCAAATGTTGTTAAGCATAGAGAGTAAAATTAGCGTTCTAAGTATGGATCAAAACTGATCACAGAAATAAGGAGTGAGATTAAAATTAGTATTCTTGCTCCCTTGGGCAAAGCCCTGACTAGATATATGTTCAGGACCTGAAATTTGGGGATCCAACCTACTTAACCTAGTTGCCAACCTAGAAAAGAAAAATAACATATTAACTCTAAAATTGCTCAGCAGAATTTCATGCATCAGAAAGGAAGATTCAAAAATTTTTTTTTCTCTTTTCTTGTTTTTTTTTGGTTTGTTCCTGAGATTACTCATTTTGTAATTGTAAGGTGATTCTCAAAATTTTATATTCTAAGAAATCCTCATAAGTGCTTGCTTTGGCATAGCAATGCTATTTGTGGCCTAGAAATTATTTGAAAGTGAGGGTTTGTAATTATGAAGTTCTTTTTACTGTGGTTTCTATCTCAACCTTATGTTGGCCGGCTTCTTCAGGAAAGAAACAAAAGGGAGAATGGTTAGAGGAGGATTCTATTTTTTATTAATAGGTAAAAGGGAGAGAATTGACTATACATGCCATAATCTCCAGTCCAGCTTATTTTGTACTCCTGCTCGTCAAGCCCAAGGGATTGTAAAGGAAGGCATAGATGTACAGTGTTTAGTCTTCATTCTTTTTTAGCATTGGTAAGCAATAGGGGATTTTGTTTGATTGTCAATTTGGTTATATTTCTGTTCTGCCTATTTTATTGATTTTTGTGTGAAATTGCAATGTCAAGTTGAAATTATTAACTGAAATGATTTAATCATATTAAGTGAACTTATGTTGTCGAGTTTTGACTAAAATGAATGCTCGCTGTCGCTAATGTTTAGAAAACTGATAGAAAGGTAATAGAGCTGTTTATAGTGGGGTTTTCATCTCACTTTATCATGTGATTTATTTAGATTTTTGGGCAGTGTTTTTTGCTTTTCTTATATGAAATCTATTTATTGTATTTCTGAATGAATCAATCAATTGTTGATTAACTAGCATAATAATCATATATTTGGAGCCAAACATTTTTGTAACGTGGGTCACACAGATCATATGCTATATGCTGCTTGCTATTTCTTTTATTGCTTCTGTCTAATTCTGGAATTAAGCTATCTCGAGATTTATGCCCTGTCTCTCATTTTCTTAGGTTCTCCTTTTTTCTGTGATTGTTTTGTCATGGATTTACATAGATTTGACTCCTAGACAAAAGTTATTTGTGGGAAGTGCTCTGGTATTTGAAATTGTTTTCTTGGATTTTTGCACCTGTGGGGACATTGCCTTATTGATTATCACAAATATTTATTTGTTTGGTTTTTTGCACCTTGGCTGCATTGCCTTTTTTAATACCATTTGACTCCTAGACAAAAGTTATTTGTGGGAAGTGCTCTGGCATTTGAAATTGTTTTCTTGGATTTTTGCACCTGTGGGGACATTGCCTTATTGATTATGACAAATATTTATTTGTTTGGTTTTTTGCACCTTGGCTGCATTGCCTTTTTTAATATCATTTGGAAAGTTTTCTTTCTCATGATCATGCCTTGATCTATTATTGCTACTGTTATCACCCCTTTTAGAGGAATTCTTTCATTTTGACATTGACATTCCCACTGTGCATCTCATGGCCTAGTTAGCATCAATATCTTACTCTGCAACTCCTAGTAATCCTTTCAATTTTGTTTTTTCAGCCTTCCCATATTCATATACCTCGTTCCCCGAAATTATCCTCCCTTCATTGCTTCCTCCACAGTTTTCATGCAAGCTTGTATTAGGCTTGCAAAATGTCGAGAGGCAGATCAAGTTCATCACAAGTGGCAAAGCCTGTCGAACTTGAAGAAAAGGTCGACCTCGATGGAGACAATGAGGAGGTAATGGAGGAGGAAGTTGAGTATGAAGAAGTGGAAGAAGAGGTAGAGGAGGGAGTCGAGGAAGAGGAGGAGCTAGAAGAAGAGGAAGAGGTAGAAGACGAGGAGGAAGTGGTTTATGAGAAGGAAGAGGAGGCCCCTGTTCCAAATGGGATTGATGAGGATGCAGGGTCCAAAGGCAAGGATGAGATGGATGTCAAAGCTTCCATATAAAATAAGGATGGAGAGCATGAAGAAATAAAACATGCTGAGCTTCTGTCCTTTCCACGACATGGGTATGAAGTTTATGTTGGTGGCATTCGTAAGGATGTAACCGAGGAGGATTTAAAGCAGCTTTGTTCCCTTATTGGTGAGCTTTTTGAGGTGAATATGCATTTTTTAACTGCTGTGGTCTCTTAAAGACTGTTTGGAAAATGTTTTTCATTTGTCTGATTTTTTCCCATTGGGTGACAGGTCAGGATTATCAAAGAAAGGATGCCACTGAGAATAAGGGTTTTGCTTTTGTGAGCTCTGATTTTTTCCCATTGGGTGACAGGTCAGGATTATCAAAGAAAGGATGCCACTGAGAATAAGAGTTTTGCTTTCATGAGCTTCAAGACCGAAGAGTTGGTAGACAAAGTGATTGAAGAACTGAGTAATTCTGAGTACAAGGTAGAACAGCTTTATCTAGCAAATGCTTTGTCACGTTGTCTTTGGTCTTGGATTACCTTATTGTATGGCCTGAACTTAATCTGATTTATGTGAGCTTGTCTTTGGTCTTGGATTTACCTTATTGCATGGCCTGAACTTAATCTGATTTATATGAGTTGTCTATTTGATACTCTTTTTTCTATGCCTATACACAAGAATCATCAAAAATATTTAAAACAAAAAAATCCATAGGTATGGGATGTTTTATGCACTGTAATGTGTGCTTCATGCTGCCATCATATCTTGCAGGCAAGAACATTAAAGGTTTCTTCTGCTCAAGTAAAGAATTGACTGTTCATAGGTAATGTTCCAAGGAGCTGGGGACAGACCTTATAAAGGTAATTAAGCATCATAATTCTGAAGTTTGACAAGTGTGATGCTTAGTTATCATTTTCCTTTTCTGCCTGCACCTTTGCCTGCCTTCCATGATTTGGAAACAATGGATATTTTAAATTCTCTTTGATAGGATTCTTTTTTGCATGCAATTGCAATGCAATTTTATGTATGGTTTTCCTGTTTTGAATGCAGAATGCTGAAAACCCAGGTCACAACTGTGGTTTTGCATTCCCTAGTATTATAATGCTGCGTGTGCTGAATATGAACAACACAAACCGAACCCCAAATTCAAACTTAATAATAGTGCTCCAACTGTTAGCTGGGAGAATCAGGACAATCCCACTGCTTCTGCTCGAGTACATATTATTGTTTCAGTTGCATCTTAATGTTTTCACTTCTCCATCTTAGGTTATATTAATTTGTTGACTTGAATTGTAGATTTGGATACTTTCTTACCAACGAGGTTATTTGTAAACTGGAAGCCTCACACTTGTGAATTAAAAACTGTGGGTCCCATCCGCTATCTCTTCACCATTGTCTGCTATTTCACCGGGTGTTTTTCCCTCTAGACACACACCATACCAGACAGTTTTCAGGACAAACGAAAAAGGAACAAACATGAAATAAAATAAAGAGGTAATACAATGGAGAAACAAACAAATAGAGGAGGTACCTGTCCAACAGCCCCAGCACCGAGAGCACCATAAGGATCCATGCCATAAGCAAGATGGCCAGGGTAGCCCGAAAGCAGATCAGCCTTTTTGGGAGTTCATTCCTGAAATAGGGTTCTTATCATGAGGCTTAGCAAGTGAACATTCAAGAGCAGGGCCTATCACAAATTCAAACAAAGTACCACTATCGGGGACAAATCCTAAATTAAAGAATTATAAGAGCATACCATAATCGAATGCAGTATACTACTATATGGTACTGCAAAGAGGGATGCCCCATCCCATCCTGATTATAAATGGAGATTAATTGTAACTGTGATGAATGTCACTACAACTTATGTCCACAATCCATCATAGGAACGGTCGTGGATACTTTGCATTGCATTATTCTTCATCAGGCTCCATTGGATTATAGTATGCCTTTACTGTAGACACGAAAAGTTACCATCTGCTTTGTAATTTTTAGTGTTCTCAAGTGCTCGCACAGCACTTGCCCCTTGCACAAAATGGATAAACGCATAACTTACATTTTCTTATCCCTTTTAGATTATAGAACAACTTTTGTAATTTCTCCATGGCATTCAAATTGATCCCCAGCTTATTTTGGGTAACAACTTTAGGCAAGTTTTTTACATACACAATTACGAACCGATGTTACATAACCTGAAAAGCAAAAATGTTTGCCATGAGACTTCCATGGCTAAGTGAATTGTTGCATGCAACATAAACTGAGTCCGCAATTTATAGAAGCTATACTATGCTCCAATTGCAGTCATCAACACCCGGTGAAATAGCAGACAATGGTGAAGAGATAGCGGATGGGACCCACAGTTTTTAATTCACAAGTGTGAGGCTTCCAATTTACAAATAACCTTGTTGGTAAGAAAGTATCCAAATCTACAATTCAAGTCAACAAATTAATATAACTTAAGATGAAGAAGTGAAAACATTAAGATGCAACTGAAACAATAATATGTACTCGAGCAGAAGCAGTGGGATTGTCCTGATTCTCCTAGCTAACAGTTGGAGCACTATTATTAAGTTTGAATTTGGGGTTCGGTTTGTGTTGTTCATATTCAGCACACGCAGCATTATAATACTAGGGAATGCAAAACCACAGTTGTGACTTGGGTTTTCAGCATTCTGCATTCAAAACAGGAAAACCATACATAAAATTGCATTGCAATTGCATGCAAAAAAGAATCCTATCAAAGAGAATTTAAAATATCCATTGTTTCCAAATCATGGAAGGCAGGTAAAGGTGCAGGTAGAAAAGGAAAATGATAACTAAGCATCACACTTGTCAAACTTCAGAATTATGATGTTTTTCACCGGGTGTTTTATTTCATGTTTTTCCCTTTTGCTTTTGTCCTGACCACCCATAAAACAAAAAAAAGAAAAAGTACCTTTTTTTGCAAGCGTCCCCTCCTCCCCCAAGTCAAAAAGTTATATTTTTAAGAACGAAAATATCCCATTTAGTACATGCTTTGTCTCATTTCCATCACTTTATGTTTTACACGTTTTGAAGCCAGTTTGTCACAATCTACGTCGGATTGGATTACAAAATTATAAAGATAGGTCTGACACGAGATTTGCTGGACCAGTTTTGGGCGCTGTACAAAGCATAATAAGCCAAAAAAGTGCGATCCTGTACAAACCATGCTGGACCCACGATATAAAGTCGGATCGGATGTATATTTTCCACATTGATTCAAAAAGCATCCTTCCAGTGTAGGGGGGCTTGAGCGCTTCGCCCAGACCTAGGCGGGCCAATTGGGTGGGTTATCCTTGGGTATCTGGGTGGGTGCCTAGGGGACTACACCCACCTAAGTGCAAAAATACCCATCGTGTGGGATATTTTTAAGTACTTGTTTTTTTGTTTAGATTAATAAAATGCATATTGATGCATTTTTTATACAAAATCTGGACTTAAAAACATGATTATCATAGGCGCCTGCCTAGTTGCTGGGTAGTTTAGAACCCCCCGGCTGCCTAGGCGCCACCCGACCTTTTTTGGAGCACTGATTTTCTAGAAGACTCAGTTCGGCAGAAACATGTGCCGGACCTGTTTGGGGACTACTGCATCTGGTTTGGCACAAACTTGTGCCTACTGAAATAAGCCAAAAAATACGGTTCAACACAGTTTTTTGGACCCACCGGTTTGGCACATTATAGAACTAGACCAGATGTATATTTTCATGTGCCGGACCGGTTTTGGGAATAGAACATATGAAATAAGCCAAAAAGTGCGGTCCGGCTCAAAGTGTGCTAGATTGCATGTATATTTTTCAAAAGCCTTGGTCTGGCAGAAACATGTGCGGGGGTTGCCTCGGTCCGATATAACGTGTGCCACACTACCCCATCGTTGGATCGTTCTTGTTTGACCTTCCTTTCTTTTTATTCCTGCTCATTATACACACACCTGTTTTTAGGGTTGCTTAACCCCTTCATCCGAGTCGGGGGTTTCATAATCCTCGTACTCGTGAGTCTTCATCGGGAACAGGTTCCCCGAACCTCGTGCCCGACCTTTCTCTTGAGCATCGACCCTGTGTCGCGCTCCCAGGTCATCACCTGGAAAGAGGTGAGGATGGATCAACAAGTCCCTCACTCCCTACCTCCTTGCAATGGTGGACCCTCCTCCAACGCACCTTGCATTGGCGGTACACATGCCGCCACACACAGCACGCACCCTGCTACTGGCAACTCCCTTGCCGGTCCCACTGCTATGGGCAGCCTGGAGGCCGCCCCTCCCTCTTTCGTGACTGACAGTTCATCTGTTGTTACTCCTGTGGGTCGCCGCGAGGCTACCCCTCATTCTTTATCACTTCGAGCCCCTGTAACAGGATGCTCGACACCAGGAGGAGGCGGCTTTGAAGCCACCACCTCACACACACCCACCAAAGCTAGTGGACCATCCATGCTAGCTACACCTCCGGGCAACCCTCAGGTTACCCCTATACAGGATCAGGGTTCCGGTCTTCTTGAACTTGGCCCTGCACCTCTTTTGCATGCACACACCACCACTCGGGGCAACCCTCAGGTTACCCCGATACACAATCAGGGTTCCGGTCCTCTTGGATTTGGCCCTGCACCTCTTTTGCATGCACACACCACCACTCGGGGCAACCCTTAGGTTATGTCGATGCATGGTCATGGTTCGTGTCTTCTTGGACCTAGCCCTGTACCCCTTTCACATGCATACTGCATTACTC